AACACAGTATGGAGACCACATGTACACACTATATTCTTAAACAGGCGAACAAAAAGGAAGATGTCAAGAAGATGGGTCTGGGGATCCACCTAGACCTTTGTGTTACATATATGCATATATGTATGTATATATATATATAAAAAGGCAGAGCAAGACCTTTATGTAGTTTCTCCAGCGGTCATCCCAAAGAATTTTTAGACAAGCCTGTCTTGTCCATGGTATAGGGTGGAGCTATGCTTCTAAGTACAGACTTCTGGATCTGCTGTTTCATGCTATTTGAGATACAGGACTAAGAATGGGATCTGCCTCAGAGTAAGGTTGATTTGACTCCAAATTTCAGATTTTATAGGAAAACAAAACTGAGAAGAAAAGTCTTCAGGTAAATGTGCTGCTGTTAGATACCGTGCTGCCATTGGTATGTAAAATTGCCAACACAGTGCAGAGAGGAAACTCAAGAAGAAACAACAGGTGAGACCAATTTGCTTGTTAGTGCTGAAAACGAGGCTTACTTATACCAAGCCTCCTGTTGGGAACTGGCACTGAGTGAAAATTTCAGACCTGTCTCTATGGAGAGACCTCTGCCAAGGAAATCCCTCCTCCCAGTGACAGTAAGGGGACTGTGAGCGGCAGCAAGCAGCTGGAGAAGAGGGGGGCTGCCGAGTATCCCCTTTCTGTGGAAAACTTGTCATTAATCTTCAAGCATTAATCTTTTGATTTCACTGGTGTCCTGGGACATTAGAAGATTAACTAGGAGCTTCTTTTGTCTTGGCCCTGGTTGAATGAATACTCTCTGAAGACAGAAAGCCTTTCTAAAAGTGCACCACTCCTCAAGTTAAATTCTGAGGGGGATGTGTCTTTTTATTCTTTTTCTTTCTTTTTTTTCTTTTTTTTTCTTTTCCTCTTTTTTTTTTCATGGTAGCTCACTTCTGTCAGCACTGGAGTAAATGGCCCAGTTTTCCTGTGCAGCCTCTGACAGCATGCTTGTTATTATCGCTGAAGCAAATTGTTCCTTTTTTTTTTTTTTTTTAATAGAGAGGGAGGAAAGGAGAGGAATGGGACCTGTGGGACCTTGGTGCCTGTGTCAGTAGAAGGCCTGGCCCCATTTCTAGCTGCTGACAGTTTGCAGCTTTGCTTCTGGCAGAAGCCAGGCCCGCAGTCACACAGTGGGAGGAACTGAGCTCCACCGGCAGCAGCAGGAGGGAACCCCCTCGCATGCAGGGAGTAGTTCCACACAAATTCCACACCATTCCATGCTCTGCTCACACAGTGGAGCATGCGGAGGGTTTATTGGTCTGGAGCTTCCTGTGCTGTTTTTCACAAGAGAACAGTCTTTTTTTTTTTTTTTCCCTCTCTCTCCTTTTCAGCAGCCCCGGGCAGTATGAATGCTTTACAAGGTCTATTTGCAAACAAATAAAAGAGGAGGAGAGCCAGGCTGCCTGAGCTCTCTCCGACTGGTGGTTCATTTGGTGTGCATGCACTGCATGTACTTGTATTTACAGAATGAGGTTCCCCAAGGGTTGTGTGCCCTGGCCCGGTTCTGCTGGGTGCGATGGTGTGTACAAGATGCACTGCAAGACCAGTGATCAGAGTAGCCCAAACAGAAGATCAAGACTGAGGGCTCTGACCTATTATATATACAGTGTAAAAAGTGACTCTTAAAATTCCCGTATCAGTAAGCATCTGGGAATATTGCTACTGTCCGATGATCTTTGTATCAATCCTGCTCATTAAAGGGCAGCTAGTGAGTGCGGAAAACAAGGCTGATGCTTCCAAAAGGAGATTTGGTCTTAATTTCATTGACTGATTCCTAGCCTTGTGTTTTTATGAATGGAGTAGGAGGCAAAGGCACTCTGTTTTTTTTTTTAATCCTGGCTGGCTCACTTTATTTTGGCTGCCACATGGAATGAAAATTAGCTGATGCACATTGCCCTTGGCTGAAAGGTGCCAAGCACTCTCTAGCACATGGTCAGGGTCCTCTGCTTGTTGCAGTCCTGATGAGACACAACACAAAACCATCCAAAACACTATAAAAACAGTTCAATCCCCTGCTCTTTTTACATGAATTTTGACCCCAAAGCCTTCTAAGGCCTTAACATGGTACCTCCAACCTTCAGAAGAAAAACTATTTGTGGTCCTCTCCAAAGAGGGATAAAAAAAAAATCTTATGTGGATGCATTTGTCTGCTTTGTTATGGAATTAAAAACTACGCAGCCATGGAGGGGGACGTCTCCAGTTTATGCACAAGCCCTGATGGGCCCCTGTGATTCTGGCTCACATCCGTATGGATTAGCTTTCCCGGTCACCCAGGGCCTGGCTTTCTGTGACCAACAGGTTGACTCGCTAGCAGGAGAGCTCCAGCTGGACGTGGTTCTGTCCAGAGCTCCAGATGCAGGGAGGTCGTGGAGTAGCAGCTGCTGCTCTGTGCATCGGACAACGCTCATGGAAGTGCGTTCTCCTGCTCCTGCACCTTCGTGGTATTTTCTTGGAGACAACCATCAGAGAAAGTGGCTGCCTCCCAGGCATCCTTTTGAAATCACTTGTATTGCAAGAATCTCTCAGTGAAGAAAGCAAGTCCTGCCTTAAAAGTGTTGCATGAGCGAGGCAGCAGCAGTGCCGAAGGGGAGCTGTACATGAAAACGCTGTTGCAGAATGAAACCCACTTTCCTCCAATACCTTTGAGCCCTTTAGTATATACAGCAGATACCAAGATAAAATCCTCAGTGCACATAAGGTTATTTCTTGGGAAAATGTCTTGCAAAACGCCATTGTGCTTTGTGCTTGGGGAATTTAATTAGCATTAGAGTGAATGGAGGAGTTTAGGCTCCAACTAAGTACTCACTAAACACAGGGATTATGAAAGATCACCAAGAAACATATGGAGAGAGCACAGCACATCTCCTCCTGCCAGTATGAGATGTGTTCACTTGTAATTTTCTACAGTCTGGTTCCTCATGCTTCCTAACAACTTTGCTCTTTTCATAATTTCATCTGGCTGTTTTACTTGTTTGGCGGAGATAGAGATTTGTCAGCTCTGAGAAGCAACCTCTCTAGGTAGGCAACTGCCCTGGTAGAAACCGAGGTTGAAATTTTAACATCAATAAAATGTCAGGGCTTTATGACAAGCCAGCACAAGGGATTCCCAGATAAATCTACATTAATTTCCTGGCAGCTGGCCAGAAATCCTCTTCCATTTTTAATAACCAAAAGTTACGGCCTTTATTTCCTTTGTATATATGGTGCTCAGCTGTCCTTATCACCTATTCTGATATCCTTATTACTGACTTAGACAGAACTGTATCATGCTTCAAAAACTAAGGATCTGAAAATGAAAGGGTGTGTTCTATATCTGTTATGTTGATATTGCTTGTTTAATTGATGTTTGCGTTGTTACTAGTAGAAAAAGCAGTGGAGATGGACAAAAATGTTACAAGTGCATATCTGAAAACCCTTTATTGTGGAGCGGAAATGACAGATCATACCTAGTAGTACCTAACTTGCATGTAATTCACAGTAGTGTTAAACATAGTAATATTAAACACAGTAATGTTAAACTTCAATGAATGCCAGAATATACTTCCAACAAAGCAGAACCTGTGGATGTTTGAGGGTGTTTTGTGCTGTGTTCACATCATAATAAACCTGAACTTCAGCTTTCACAAGAATCAAGAGCAGGAGCAATTTGATTTCTGCTCCATTTTGTTCCAAGGATCAGTCACTGGAGAACAGACAGTCGCTTTAGGAAGGGAAAAATCCCCCAGGGAGTCCTTTATTCACCTCTCTGAAATGCACTCTATGCTGCTGCTTGCTGAATATCAAATGTAGAAGTTAAGTTTGTGTTACCCGGTTCCCATACCCCGTGTAGTCAATGGGACTGCTTTAAACTGAATGAGATGGTGATGTTTTAAATTGGTGCAGTCTGAGGAGGGGGCTTATTATTATTTTTTTAACCTTGAGATGTAATTTTGTGGATCATTATATGTAAAGGTGACTCAGCCTCTGTTTTCCATCACTTACCACTGCCAAATTGACTTCAAATTACAGAACATCATGTTGCCCATTCCTCTTGGAGTAAATAGAATAAATGTGCTTGCTGCAATAACAGTAATAAGCCTGGCACTTGCCAGCATTATGTCTGCAGAACGGAAGCTGTGCTGCTCTCCCCATGAACTGTGTTTTCAATAGTCAGTGTCATAGGCAGAGAAGATCTGCAGGATCCTGTTGAATAGAGTGCATGGACAGGCTGTTCCACTGCAGTTAACTGTGGTGCTTCTAAACCAATGGCTTCTCCTAAGGCAATTTTCTTGATCTGCTTTTGGCTAAGAGGTGAACTCTATTCCAGGAGAACCGGGGTTGCTTCCTTTGACATAGTGTGTGTTGTGCTTGCTCAGGCAGAGGATCATTTGGGCTCCCTGGTGCTGCCAGTGCACTGATTTCCTTCGTGAGCAGTACACTCAAATCCATACAAAAGCTTAGCTTGCTTTGTGCCAGGAGAAATGTTCTGGGTAAGAGAGGAAGGTCTTGGAGCACATCCTCTAGAGTTTGTGGAATTTCACAGTCCGCTCCTGACTCAGCCACTGCATTTTGCCACGTGTTTGCCGAAGCCCTGAACGGCCCTTGCTGGGCCTGGGTTCTCGGGGTGATGTCGGGTTTGCTCTGGGGCTGGAGGGCTGCCCGTGAGCAAGACCCGCGCTGTGCTGCACGACGGGCCCGGGGCAGCTCCGAGCTGGGGCAGCAGCGGTGGCTCTGGCACCGGCCTTGTGCCATGGCCGCGGTGTCCCTGCTGCGGGACGGTAACGTGGCGCATCGCCCTTCCCTGCCCGCGCTCCGATGTGCTCCGCGCGCCGGGGCCGCTGCCTCATTGCAGCGAGGGAGGGTCCTCGTCCTGCCTCGTTTACAGGCCTGGGCAATGCGCACGGCCCTCTCAGTGCTGTGCAGCACAGCGAGGAAAGGCATTTTCCTCTTCACCTTCCTCTTCTCCTGCTTTAAATACCCCACAGGAGCCCCAAGCTCTTGCACTACCTGACTGGCAGCAAAGCAGCAGCAGCAGCAGCAGCAGCAGCAAGCAAGTCCTGTGTTTCCTGAGTCCCCATATCTCCCAAGAGATCAAGGTTTCCCAGGAAATGGAGCTCCCTCCAGGTGATCCCTCCACTTACCTATTGCTAACTGCATTTTATGTAACTCCACCTCTGTAGGGTGTTGTAGTATCACGCATCCCGAGCTCCCCCTCTTAAGCTGATGGGCAAAAGGGGCAGCGTGTATTTTCTGAGAATGTTTATGCTTTCTCTCCACGTCTCTCCTGTTACCCAAATGCTAAAATCCTGTTTACTTCCTCTGCTTTATCACAAGCACAATTTCAAGTCTAGCCACCCACAGGGATTTGGTTCATCAAGATATTTCCAATTTTGCCATTACTTAGAATGCTGAGAGCCATCATTTTGCTTTGAAGCAGGGCTGGGAAAGTATCCATTAGTGCCACTCTTGGCTGGCTGAACTGATGCTTGTTTTACTGTTTCATGTCTTTATTGCAGGTCGTTTTTAACCTCAGAGAGCTGGGGCTTCACTTTGTTTCATCCCAAGTAGTAAGAGTGGTGTCTGGCTAATGCCCAGCAGCTGATGGATGGACTTTGCCTCCCCATGAGCTGCAGGCAGCAACGGGGAACTTTTCCACAGCCTCAGTGCAGATGTGAGGAGGGCGAAGACGGGAATGGGCCGGTCACGTTTCGCTTGGGCTCGCATCTCGCATTGCGAAGCACAAAGCAAAGGGCTCAGGTGCAAAGCGGCCCCTGTCACGTCTTGTAAAAGACTATTCAGGCTGTGTTTGATACTGAAGAGATGTGACCAGAGACCGATGCCTTGCGGACATTCATCAAATATCTGTTAGCAGTAACCTGACTAATGTCTCCTCATTCAGCAACTGGCCTTTACTGAGAAGGGAAAAGGGCTAAATTTTAGGCCTCTCTAGGAGATAAATATCAGGATGAACAAAGCAGCTGTGAAGCTAGAGCATTATCCTTAACCTCAAAGTGTTCCTTTTATTAATATTATTATTACTATTGTTGTTGTTATTATTATTACTTTATTTTGCATTTGTATCAAAGTAGCAGAGATGTGGCTTGGACCCTTGAAGGTTACCTCTCTTGCTGTTCCCCAGACCATTTCTCTTGTGTTTTCCATACATAGTTTACATTTCCTCACATTGTGCTGGAAAAGGCTTTTAGGGAGACTTCATGTATGTGGTAGAAAGGTTGTTCTGAAACATTTTTTGCTGAATTTGGAGTCAGCGGCCTTCACATTGACTCAGAAATGAGCATCCCTGTGAGGAAGAAGGGATGTTAAAATTTGTTGTAGTTATTGAATTAAAAGGTGGCTGGCAAGCACACACAAAATAAGCAAAGTACTGGCTCTAGAAGGAAATGAGCAGTATTTAATTAGGAAAACCCAAATCCTCCCTCCTCCTTTGTCTTTCCTTCGCACGAGCCCCGCTGCACGGAGCGCTGTCCCCTGCAGAACGAGGCGCTGCCGACGGCCCCCACGCTGCTCCCGTATCCTGCACATAAAGACATGCCTGTTGCCATGGCGACCAGCGCCCTGCAAAGACGGGGAGGAGGGAGGCGAACCACAAAGCCGGGAGAATGGAACGAAATGCACTGTGAGAAAGAAAAAGACGCGGATGGCGTAAGGGTGCTTCATTAACATTTGCTTTGGGAAATCTGCGCGGCTCCTTCGGGTGTTCTGGGTAGACGCAAAGTCGTCCTGCCTGCTAGCCAGGATGCCCAGGTGCACCTTCCTGGGGAGAGCCTGGGCCGGTGCCGATCCTGGTGCCACTTACCGCTCTGCAAAGCTCCACGTGGGCTCCCGGCGAGGCCAGGGTTTTCCAGCCGTGTGTAGGCCACGGATTCATGCCCCTTGCTGGGAGCATAGAGTAGGAATATAGAGAGCTTGAGTAGCAGGGCTGAAAGAAACGTGATGCTCTACTGCCGGTTTTGAGGTGAGGGAAAAATCCTGGTCTTAGAGTTTTCTGCTCCTCATTAGAGCTTGGAGTAAGGTGGCCCATGGATGGCCATAGAGACCTGCAGGGTCTGACTCCGTGTCACCAACACCAGGGCTTCGCTGCGCAGGGGCCCCGAGGCACCGCGCTGCCTTCGGGCCTGTGTGACAGCTACGGACGGCCCCTGAATGAACAGGCCACAGCACAAAACCCCTGTCAGGGGCTGTTTGCACCGTGACGGCCACACCATGACCCGCTACCCCTTTTGATGCCGCTGACCCAAGCATTTGCCTAATTCAGTGTCTTCACTGATGAGTCGTTGGCAACTGGCTCTATTTGCAAGTCCAGTTCTGGTTTTACTTGGCGGGAGCCTAGTCCTAGAATAATGTCCCAGTGCTGAAGAAGGTCCCGCAATATGAAATCTCCTGTGCTCCTGGGCTTTGCAAAATCCCAAGTGGCAGGAGTCTGATCTCACCCCGCTTGTATACCAGCTCAGCTCCTTTGTTATCAATGCAGTAGCATTCCTTCGTTATCTGCCGCTAAGCGAGCTTAGGAGGAGAGCTTGTGCAAATCCACAGAAACTGTGCGCAGCACACACCCAGCGAACACATACCCTGGGTATTCCCAGACTCCAGGGGCTTGACACTCAGCAAAAATACACAATATTTTGCTCATTTAAGCAATTCGCTGTCAGCGGAATTAAGAGATAGACAAAGTCTGTGATTTTATCAGATGACTCAAAAGTAGGAGTGTTTATTCCTTTCAAGCACCTTTGCATCATCCTGACTCAGCAAAACTCAGTCTGAGTTTAGTTTTGAGCCCTTACTGACCTGCTCCACCCTCCATTAAATAAGAAGTCAGTTTTGTAATGCTCCCCCTGCTGTAATTAAATGTGCAACTGCTTTATAATGCTTTTACTTGTGAGATTTTTTTATTTTTTAAACAGTCACGGCTGCCCATCATTTATCTACAGAAAGCATCTCTAATCAGCAGCGAGATATTTCTGCTTCCTTTATAGTTACCTAGATCGCACTGCTTCATCTCTTCCCCTCATGTGTAAATTATAAATCATTCAGACCTTTTTTTATGTCATGCTCCACCCAGCACGTTGTCCCGGGTCTGGGTCTGTGGAGTGAGATGTGGTGGCAGGAGAGAAGCTTGTGTCAGCCACAGGGGTGCAGGGAAAAGGGGCTGCTCTTTATTTCCCTCGCTCTGGCTTAGATCTCTTTGACTTCACTGAAATCTCTCCAGGGTCACACACCAAGAAGCCAATCTCGTGCATCCGTGTGCTTAAAGGTTCTGCTTTGACTTTTGATGCGTAACCATCCCCCTTTTGTGCATTTGGATCTAGGGAGGGAGATGCCTCTGCAGAAAAACCCCGGCCTCGGTTTTCCCGTCATGGTCCCTGCTGGGCTTGGAGGTGGGGATTTACTGCTGCCAAGGGCAGAGCAGGATCCTGTTTTTCTTCTGCAGGCTTTAAGGATGTCCGTGCTGCTCATAGGCACATCCACAGCGTATTCCATGCCCAATCCCCTTGCTGCAGCCCTCGCTGCAACACTCCCCTTGCTGCAACACTCTCAGACGGCTCTCAGACTGCAGGATACGGTCTGCGCTCGTCTGCTGGGAGCTCTATTGGAGCCAGATGTGCTCAGGATCTGGCAGGCAAAAATCACAGTTTCTTGGATGGGCCTCTCCAGAATTTCTGTAACAGCGGAAGGGCTGGCGCAGGGCGCCCGGGCTGTTGGCATCGTCCTGCCTAGGTCACACGGAGTCATTTGCACAGCAGCAAGATGCTGTACGCTGGGCAACCCCAGTCAAACCTGAGGTGTGGGGCCACCAGTCCTCACAGTGTTCATTTCTGGTGGCACACGGGCATATGGACAGATTAATCCCTCGGTGGGGGAGCTTTGGGCCCCTCTGACTTTTTGCACCCTGTTTGATTGCTTAAATGTATGCATACACACACATAAATATATATGTATATGTAGAAGGAATGTGCGTCCCATGGGCAAGGGGGCTCCGAACTCTAACGAGGGGCAGCCCCTCGTGCCCCATGCTTTTTCTTAAGGTGGAAAATAACTGTCAGACAAATTTACATGAGAAAAGATGTAGACCTAAACACGCGGCTGACTGGGGAAAGGATCATAGAATCATAGAATCGTAGAATGGTTGAGGTTGGAAGGGACCTCTAGAGATCATCTAGTCCAACCCCCCTGCACACGCAGGGTCACCTAGAGCACGTGGCACAGGACTGCATCCAAGCGGGTTTTGAAGATCTCCAGAGAAGGAGACTCCACAACCTCTCTGGGCAGCCTGTTCCAGTGCTCTGTCACCCTCACAGGAAAGAAATTTTTCCTTAAGTTCCTGTGGAAATTTTGGTGTTTCAGTTTGTGGCCATTTCCTCTAGTTCTGTTAGTGGCCACCACTGAAAAGAGGCCAGCACCATCCTCCTCACTGCCTCCCTTGAGGTACTTGTAGACACTGATCAGGTCCCCTCTCAGCCTTCTCTTCTCCAGGCTGAACAGGCCCAGCTCCCTCAGCCTCTCCTCGTAGGGCAGATGTTCCAGGCCCCTGATCATCCTTCTGCCCTGCTCTGGACTCTCTCCAGCAGCTCCACATCCCTCTTGTCCTGTGGGGCCCAGAACTGGACACAATACTCCAGATGTGGCCTCACCAGGGCTGAGTAGAGGGGCAGGATCACCTCTCTTGACTTGCTGGAGATGCTCTTCTTAATGCAGCCCAGGATCCCATTGGCCTTCTTGGCCACGAGGGCACACTGCTGCCTCATGGTCAACTTGTCATCCACCATGACACCCAGGTCCCTCTCTGCAGAGCTGAATGGATGGGAAGAAACTTATAGATTCCAAAATATCCTTTAACTCCACATCAGTGTAGGAAGGCTTCTTCATAAAGTAATTGATTTTGAGTAAGAAAGGAAAAAGACAGCATGTACAAACTAAGTTCTGTATGCATCAAATGAAAAGCTGGGATTGCTAAGTGTGCATGCAAAGATGATGCTAGGAAGATGATGCTTGTTGATTAAAGTTACTAAATGCATGAACAAAATCTGTGATGAGCAGGATATGCATAAAAACTAATATTTAAAGGTTGTGTCTTTCAGTAATGGTGGTGATATGAATGGAAGAGACCATAAGAATGGGAAAATTGTTAACTGGCTCAGAAAATATGGAGATGCTTAGTCAGTACTCTATTACACCTGGAAAGAGATATAGAGTATGCAGTATATATATTCTTTAGCAAGAAAATAATTCCTTTGCCATCAGGCACTAGGGATACTCAGCAGGGAAATACTGGAGGCAAGTGGAGAGCTGGTGCACTGCTGCATCTGCTAGAAACCTGTTTCTGGCTTATCCATCTCTGGGACCTCCTGGGGGTGCTGGAAAGCAGGAAGAGCTGTAAGAAGGATTTGAGATGTGCAGCAGCTCCAGATGTAGCAGTGTAAGAACAGTGGTTCCGGGCTGCACAAGGGACTGCACTTGGGGGATGGAGGCAGAGGAGCGGCCTCTCGGTAACAGAAATGTCCATGGATTCCTGGAACTGCTACAGCAATCATAGGGCAGCTGTAGAAATAATCATATAATTACTTAACCGGATTAGCTATGACTGGTTGCAGTTAATCCAGTAAAAGGCTACATACCTCGTGTGTTTCTTATAACTGTGAATCATGCGCAGGGACCTCTGCATTCACTGAGGTGCTCAGGGCAGAGAAAAGGCAGCATTTCCGTAC